TTGGATTATACAAAAAATCTCAGGGCTTTGATAGAACATGATTTACATAGCCACCTTTTACTTTCCATATAGACTCAGGCTGCATTTCTGCTAGTAATGGTGCTGGTAGCTATTGACTTTTATAGTATTTTTTTTTTCATACTATGGACATCAATGGCTACCAGAAACTGTTTGGTTACCAACATTCTTCAAAACATCTTCTTTTGTGTTCAGCAGAAGAAAGAAACTCATATAGGTTTGAAATAACTTGAGGGTAAGTACATGACGACAGAATTTTCATCTTTGGGTCAACTAACCTTTTAAGTACATTTTTCAAGTATTCAGAGCTTGAATGCATTAGTGAATTTTAGTATTGATTATTGTAAAGGACCAGCATGCAGGTCATGATTGTCAGTTATTTGTGAACTAAATCTGCTTGTATTTGAATATATTTACAATAAGTTTAATATTTTGAAAGTGCATAGTAAGTTTTGATAATATATTAGAAAGTTTGCTTATTTGCAGATTCATAGGTGAATTCAGGTTGATTTTTTCCCCAGTCATTTCCATGCCAAAAAAGTGTCCCAGTTTACTTGATTTGTGTACTTCAAACATGTTAAGCTAGAGTAGAAAGATAAGGACATATAGGAAAGTGCACATATAGAAGTGAAAAACAATTTAATAATTAGCTTTTAGAGTGAAAATTCAGTATAATGAAAATGCAAATGGCTGCTTTTAGAACAAAACATGTGTTAACTGGGCTAAAAAAAAAACATTTGGGGTTTTGGGACTACGATGAAATGTAGCAAGAAGCCTTCTGATGCATGATGTCTCCAAGCTCTATTTTCTGAGCTCCCCGAAAGTGTGGCATGTTTTGTGAACCATGTGTGAGTGCAGCATTTTATCAGGCTTCATGTATGATTTAGGGGTTAAGGATCTTCATCCTTGCTTATTTTTCAAAATATCGTCCGTTTCTGTACAAATGGTACAAATTCATACGAAATCACCACCTCGTAAAACTCGTGTTTTCTCATGAGATGGGGTTGCAGAGGATGCTAATGGTCACTACAAACATACAGCTAAACAGGTCAAATAGAAGAGGAAAGTGAAGGAAATGAGGGAGGGAGATTTAATCTCAGATGTTGACTTCATTGCACAAAGCCCGAGGCACCGCTGAACATCATTCATCAGAGAGAGAATAACACAGATGCCTGGGGCCCGAGAGGAGATCAGGGAAATGGACATTTCACATAATTATAATTAAGAGATCTTCATAACTTTGAGGCAGAACGGTCAGATCCAACCACATCTTTAGAATGTGTGCATGTTGCTTCTTTATTAGAAGTTATTGTTTAATATGCAGTATATATGAGGTTTATTTTAATGGTTTAATCGTACAGGCTACTCCTAACCCTGGGCAACAGGTGATGGTTACCTTAGCAAACAACACTAATAAAATGAACGATATACTCTTGGCTTGCTTATGTATTGTTTCCTTCTTTTTTCGTTCATGTTTATGCTTCTAGATCATAAACTTTGGAAAACAGAGGAAATTATGGTGGGCAAAATTCCATTAAGATATTATTTTATGCTGATAGTTTACAGTATGTGTTTGTTTAATGTTGTTAACTACAGACCGGTGTTATTTTACTATCATTAATATACTTGTATAAATATTAATATTTTTATGAATTAGTTTTTTATATTTTCTGTTTAAATGTTAATTTTAGTTTTAGTAACTTTAATGTTTAATATTAATTTTATGTTTTAGTAATTTGTTGTACACTGTAAAAAAATAAGGCACAGTGTACTAAATTATTATGAAGGAATTTTCTGTTTATTTATTTATTGTTTGTTTTTGTTTTAGGATTAATGTAAATGTCCATAAAATTACTGGATAATGTCCCAGCAGAAAATTACCAGTGCTTTTTCTTTTTTCATTTTTTTTATTACAGTTTATGTTTGTAATTTATATTAGTTTTGAATTTGTTTAGATTTTTTAAAAATGTTCTTTGAACGTTTTAGTAATTTTGTTCTGTTTTTGTAATTTTTATTTCAGTTTAGTTTTTATATTTTCATTTTTTTATGTTAATTTCAGTAAAAAAATGTAATTTTGTTGTAATTTTGTCATTTTTATTTGTTTTACTTCCCCCCTTTTATTTATTTTAAATATGTCTATATAATTTTTATTATTATTTTTCATTTAAGTTTTAATTATTTTAGTAGGATACTACTTTATTAGATGAAGCAAAATTATAAATGTTGCTTTGGCTTCTAACTAAAATGAAGTTAAATTTTTCTATATTTAAATTTATTTCAGTAATTTTTTACATATATTTTTAGTTTTAGTTAACGATAACAACAATGCAGACTCAAAGGTTCGCAAATTTAGTCTGTACTATTATCTGAAAGAAACAGATGCCTTCAGTTTGATGTAAAACAAAAGAAATCTAATCATCAGATGCAGCTTCACCACAGACAGATTTTTGAAACATATGACAGAGCCTTTGGGGATGAAGATATGACTGAACTTCAGTGACCTTACAGTAAAGGAGTAAATGCTCTGTTTGTTTCATCTGGTGTGAAATAGAGCCTGTGTTTCGCTCCCGATTTCACAAATCTGAATGCTTCAACGGAAAACAATCTGCTATTGAGAGATAAAAGGGTTGCTAAGGTAACAGGGAAAAACATCCAACACTGAATTCTCATGCCTGGCAGCTACTGTATGAAGGATACTGTGCCACTCATTGTGATGCTCAAGTGTCAGATTCAAAGACTATAATAAAAAAATATAATGATAAAAATATAGCCCTCTAAGTGGAAATCATTGCAGGCCAAGAAATGTATCTTTTCAAATATATTTGTGGCTTTTACAGCAGTCCATCTCGAATCTTCACCAATAGTCGAGGTTTAATGAAACAGGTTACAGCATCAAACAAACAAAACTGACTTCCAAATCACTCCAAAGTCCTCTGTGAAATGGTATGGTATGCCATGGTAACGAACATAACTTTCACATGCATCTGCACATATAAACCGAGGGTAAACGTAATCGTTCAATTGAACGGTGCACATCCATTTCAGACATAGCCTGAAAGAGCGCGGACTTCCAAGAGTATCAGGTAATATCTGTGGTTTGACCCATTTCAGTGGTGGCCAAAATTATAATTTAAATTTGACGTGCTCATTGACATTAATGTGTAAGAAACACGGTAAAACGCACACACTCATTTTTTTTTTTTCATAATTCAGTAGGCTACTGTTGGTCACCCTTTACGTTTGTCTGTGTTTTTTTTTTTATATTTAAAGCTGCAGTCCGTAGCTTTTTTTTGGTTAAAAATGATCCGAAATCAATATTTGAGCAAGTACATAACCAGCCAGTGTTCAAAACTATCGCCTTACTTTCATAGTCACGCAATGCTGATGTTGTTAACATTAACAATTTGAGAATAAAGTATAACAATAATAATAATTTGCACGGTTTGATGTGATATGAGCTCATTTAGATTAAATCACCATTGGTAGCGCGATTTATTGTAATGCTTTTTTCCTCAGTTGGTCAGAACAAATGTGGCAGACTTGTTACTTGTTCAGATGACAATATATGGTGAAAATGCTTATTTGGGTCATATATTCCAAGACGAAGGCTAGAATCTGTGAGTGCAAAGTACAATATTCACACTGGTGCGGTGACTGACTGCACACACACATACTCCTCAAAACATTAGATTCATCCGCACTGGAGCCGTGCCGCCGCACAACCCACGCAAGGAAGATCATTCTGCAAACAGCTGCAATCGCAGGTTTTCAAACAGAGATGGCGACAAAGAGGCAAAACTTACGGACTGCAGCTTTAACCAATGAAGACATTTTGGACTGTCTCTGCTTGTTTGCAATGCAAGGGTAAATAAAGAAATGGTTGTTTGAATATGTACAGCGTTTTCAATGAACACTACATATATAAATGCTAAGGAATTTGAGGAGCAGGGTGTCTTATGCCCGGTTCAGACTACACAATTTTAGCCCGATTTTGCCACAATTTGCTTGACGTAGAGTGTCGTGGGGATTCGTAAACGACAATGGGCGTCGGGACGCAAGATTCCATCGTTTCAGCTCGTGTAGTGTGTCATAGTGAACGACAACCGATCCCGCGTCTGCGATGCTTCACGACATCACGACAGAAAGACTAGCATGTTTAATTTTTTTTCCGTCGTCCACGACGAGTTCTGTCACATTGGTGACGTTGACCAATAGCAGCACAGGAGCTCTTTCATACACAGGTTTCAAACACGGCGAAACGAAAGAATTATGAGATGGCGGAAAGGTTCGTGGAGTACTCCTGCCTGTATGATGTGTCATCGAGGGACTACCACGACAGAACAAAGAAAGAAAAATGCTGGCGAAGTATAGCGGAAGCGCTTCAGCAATGCTTACGCTCTTGCTTTCGGAAGTCAGTCGCTAGTTCCGCCTTCTCGATGACATCACGCACGTCATTAAAGACGGCACGCGATGAATGGTCGGGAAGCAACGTGTAGTCTGACGTGTTTCTTGTCCATGACACGACAAGATTTTAGGGGTCAAAATCGTGTAACCTGACACAGTGACTATCGTGCAGGCTGAACCCGGCATTAAGGCCTGTTCACACCAAAAATGTGAGTTATTCATACTATACACAATGTACTTTTTAAACGGTCACAAATTAAGTTCAAATTCAAATGTACTGCCAACTCAGACCGAGAATTTTTTTGATGATACATTTTTGGGTGAACTATCCCTTTAAGAGCGTGAATAAATGATTCGTTTACTGTCCAAATGCGCATTCTTCACAAAAATAAAAGCAATAAAAGGCCAAAGGAAGCATCTCCAGTATGTTTAGAAGAGAACGCCAGTGAAGAATGCTTATTCGAATTATCACAGTAGACTACAACTACTGTGTGTGTGTGTGTGTGTGTGTGTGTACATCGTTCCTCACGCGCGGGTGTTTAAATAAAGTTTGAGTTATTTGAACAATATGGCGGCGCCCGTGTAGCGGTGTGAATCTGTCAGTGTATTGCGTATTAATGAAGCTTTGAATGGATATTTAATATCGATCACACTGAACGGATCGCAATACATCTCTATAGGTCCCGTTATTTGTCGTGTAAGTAGAATGTGATCCATGTTCTCTATTCTTCATCTGTAACCATTTGACATCTGATGTCTGTAACGTTCTATTTGCACTCATGTCCTGCTGGAAATACTTGCTTTATTACTGAAACCGATTGATAACGTTGTTAAGCACAATGTGAGGCTACGTTACACATCTAAATGCATTAGACCTGACTGCGGCTCTTCTAACACTCATGATCACATTGAACATTGTGCTGCCTTTGAGATTCACTTTGGAGTCCAAGATCACCATGAGTCTTCATCATTGGGAGATGGGTAACCAGAGCAACGGGACCCTCACTTCTCTTCCACAAACATGAGACCTTGAGTGTGTGTGAGCTGGTGGGCGGCTGACAGAAACACTTCTGTCCTCTAACATCTCACCCTAATCGAGCCTTGCACCATCTTCCTCAGTAGCCTCATCTGCGTCAGATTTGCTTAAGAAAAGATGCCCAAATATCAGATGAGCACGTTTAAGTGTTAATAACTTGCGTTAGATAATGCTGCATTAATACATTTAAATATATTTTGGGACGAGGGGCAGAAATTAAACTGGCCTTGGGCTACAAATGCCACTGAAAATATAAATATGACCCCATATTTAAATTGTGGGGGTGAAAAAATGCCCTAGTAATGAATTCCTGTTTCATGAAGACTGGTCAGATATTTTAAAATTACTCTAGAAGAGAATTTCTTCTTACAGCTTGTGCATTATTTACGGCTACTTTTTAAAGCAGATTTTATTGGAAACTATTTTTAAATTTTTTTTATAAACAATGTTTTTATTTATTTATTTGTATTTTTTTAATAGTATAAAATGCCCTCATAAAGGTAAAAAAAATGCCCCATCTATTATTGCCCCAATGCCCCTTAATAAAAAGTGAATTACTGACCCTGATTCAGACAGGTGACAGGGTTGACAGTTAAGCTTTACTACTAGAAATATATTTTAATGATTCATCTGTACTAAATCATGACAGGTACGGCAAAAAACATAGGCTAGCATATAAAAGATACAATGATTTAAAACAAAATGCCTTTGAACAATTCAATTTTAAAACAATGTCATTGTATTTTATTTGTTTTTATTAATGGAATGTTTAATTTAAAAAGGGAACAATATGATAGTAATTTTAGGATTGACAGATAACCTGATTTACATTTTTAAGGCGAAACATTAAGTGTCATTTTCAACAACTGGCAAATTTAGAGATTTTTGGCTGTAACTTGTCTTCTTTCAGACTAGTGGGCAGAAAAATCCACTTTTAATGCTTTATTTTATGACACTTTATGTATTTTCGTCTGTATATTTAAATTACAATCCATATCTTAAAAGGCTATTTTCTCAAAATGAGTTTTTTTCAGAAATCTCCATTTCAGCAGCATTTACATACACCAAACTTTATAGTTTTATTCAATCTATACGCCGAGCGTTTACAAAGATGGGTTTGTTCATGTATCATTCAGCCGATGGCTGATTTATATAATATCCAAAACAATAAATAAACAAACAAGAATTGAAATAAGAATTTTGACCCTTCATCCAATGTTCCCAATGATTTTTTCAGAAATGATTTTAGTGCATATTTAATTATTAGTGCATATTTAATTAGACAATGCCTCATTTGCATATTTAATCATAATATCTCAGAAAACTTGTAATACAGAACAGGTGTCTTAATGTACTGTGATGAATCAACTGGGAATGTATGGTGAGATTTGTTACTCTATTCATGTAGTGTCTTGCCTTAAAATATAAAAAGAGAATAAAGAAAAGCAAACAAAATATATTAAAAAGTATATAAAACCTACGGAATATTATATAAGATACAAGAATAAAATTACTGAATTTTTAAATTGGATTGTTGAAGCCATTTTTTTTCAAACATTTATATGAGGGACCCAAATGACCAAATGATTTATTAGAATGACCTAGAATTAATTATAATGAACTAATGAAATACTTTTTCATGAGAAAAAAAGGAAAGTAACTCTTCTTTTTCTTTATTTTTTTGAAACATTTTGCAAAACCTCCAACATGCTTTGTACTGGTAAATTATTTTTATGTTTAATGTGACCAATTTAGAGGTTTTTGTAGGTGTTAAAACACTTGTTTCCAAGGGGACAGGTTTATTTCCACCTTACACTATCTCACTTTGCCATAGTTACGGCGCAAATCTGTTTGTTTCTCTAACAGAACAGACATCTGAACACAATACACCATATCTACCCTATCAGTGTAAAGGAACACTCCACTATTTTTGAAAAAAGGCTAATTTTCCAACTCCCCTAGAGTTAAACAGTTGAGTTTTACCGTTTTCGAATCCATTCAGCCGATCTCCGGGTCTGGCGGTAGCACTTTTAGCTTAGCTTAGCATAGATCATTGAATCTGATTAGACCGTTAGCATCTCGCTCAAAAATGACCAAAGAGTTTCTATATTTTTCCTATTTAAAACTTGACTCTTCTGTAGTTACATCGTGTACTAAGACCGACGGAAAATGAAAAGTTGCGATTTTCTAGGCCGATATGGCTAGAAACTATACTCTCATTCCGGCGTAATAATCAAGGAACTTTGCTGCCGTACCATGGGTGCAGCAGGCGCAATGATATTACGCAGCGCCTGAAAATAGTCCCCAGCACGTTCCCTGTGCAAGCAGGTGGTCACGTTGGTTATGTTGACGGAAGTTAGCCTATTTTCAGGTGCTGCGTTATATCATTTTCAAAAATAGTGGAGTGTTCCTTTAAATGAAGGGGCATTCATCTTCATCCATGCTGTTATTGTTCTCTTTTTGACTGTGTGTATGCTCCCCCAGAGTCATGCTGCTCGCTGTGTGCTCGCGGAGGCCACTGCTCGATGCCCATCTGATCAGGCTCAGCGTCCGCGGGCTGTTCAGTGAATCGGGGGTTTGGGAGCGCGACTATAAGGCGGAGACGCGGCGTCGGGTGGAGCAGTGGTGGCACGGCCGCATACAGGAACAGTGGCAGAGAGATGCAGCAGATCAGGTAATGCACTTCATGAAGAACCACGTGACTGGTGATGCACAGCAGATGATTCTAATGTGGAAAGATGCTCAAAACGCATCAGCTCACTGTCAATAGACAATGTTAACCAGGTTTTTTTTTTCTTTATCTAATCATCATGTAGTTCTAAACTTGTATGACATTCTCTCTTCTTAACACGAAAGGTGAAGATGCAATATTTACAAACAATCTTACTCCTGAAATCATGGTTCAGGTTTTGTTGACAGCATTTTCTGATTCATGGAGTAATAACTAAAATCTCCTCTGTAAAAACCTTTGATATTGGCTTCATCCAATGTTCGGATTTGTGGAAATGTTTGCAAATTGGTGCATATTTAATTAATGCCTCATTTGCATATTTTAAAATAATATTTCAGAAAACATGTCACTGAGAAAACACGTTGGATGCAATTGATGCAACATCTGTATTGATGGTAAATTTGTTGAATTGAATAAAATGCGGGTTTTTTTGCCATTTACAGTAAGACTAGCTAAGTTGTATGTAAAAACAATTCTGTAGTACTGTATAGTTACGATGCAATACATAACGATTCAATTATCAGCAGCTTCATAATTGAATTAAAACAAAAAAGCAAAAACACATGTGATGCACAATCTTTATTCGTCATTTTGTAGAAGTAGAGTTAACTTTTATTTTTTTGTGGAAAAGGTACACCATCATTATGTTCTGACCAAAGTGACTTGGATGCATCTGATGTTGAAATGACAATATCCCGACTCATAAATACAAACTTCCCACGAGTGCATGAAGCATAGTCAACCGTCCCACAACCTAACCACTTCAACATAAACATAAAACACTAACATGTCTTTTCCTTTGACTCACAAGTACATAAAATAACCCTTAATTTCAACATTTAATCTCCCGATTCAGGCCTCTGCAAATAATGCCGGGAACTAAAAATCCACCGATGCAGTTTCAGTGAATGCAATAAAAATGATTCATGAAGTCCTAACACAAATGGATTAAACTCACATATGAGAAGTGGACTGAGCACAATGAAATAAAATCTTTAGCAATTTGCTTTAGTCAAGTAAAATAAGATGAACAAGCAGCAAAAATATAGATTTATTTTCAATGTGGGTGACATGGGCCTGTCACATGGACCACTTTTATGACAGACAGTTTCTTGACAGACGTTATCAGTATGAACTGTCTTTGAATGAGCAAGAGCAATGTGGAAATGCATTAAAAATTCTCTTTTTAAAGGCAAGAGGAGGAGGGTGTTTTCTCCCTGCAGCCTGTGCAGTTACAGTATGCCGTGTTTTACTTTGAAGTGTCTCTCCCTTGAGATTTTCATTCAAAGAATCCCTTCCATCTCACTGAGGAAAACCTTTGTATGTGTGAGAAAAGAGACGTCTGGCTTCTGAAGCGTTCATCTTTTACAGAGAAGCTGCTTTTTGTTGGTGTTTGTTGGTTGGCTTTTAAGCCTTGTTGTTGTGTTCTGTAGGAGAGAGTGGTCTGCTACCAGGATGTGTCTCTCCATCGCGTCTCTCACTTCATGTGTTTGCTGAAGCTGCATTTATTAATAGAATCATTCAGAGACTGAAATCTCAGTTGGATCAGATTTTATCCAAACAACCAACCAGCCCAGAGATGAATCAAATTGCAAGCAATTTAATTTAATATCAGTAACATTAGAAAATTTGATTTGAAGCAAAAAGTATTTGAAACGAAAAGACAAAAGTACAAGACTGTGCTTAAATTCATTTACAAGAGAACGGATTGCTCATCAACATTGTGAATGGCGTAATTGAATCAGAAATGGCAAGAAAATATGAAACTGTCGACTGTTGTCATTGATTGTAAGCAGGATCAGAAATAATTTTTTTTTTCATCAAGGGGCAATATTTACTAACTGGATTTTCTTACCTTTCTAAGAGCAGTTTTTATCATTACCTGTGCTGTCTTGTATGTCAAATACTTCAATTTATCCAACATTTCAGTCAATCAGAATACGACAGACTGTCACCAATAAAACTGTATCAACATCAACAAAAGTCATCTTTATACTGCAAACGTGGAATAGAAGCTACACAGACTGTTTAATGCTGCTCGAAGCTGGCAAACATGTATTTACACAACAATCGCATAATGTAAATTGCCTATATAAAAAAAGAAAAACATGGAATCATTTCAGGGTACTAGGGTTGCAATTAGGGCTTTCAGTTTAACGCATTATCTTAATTAGTGGTCGACCGATATTGGTTTTTTGACTGCCGATGCCGATATCTTGGAAAGCAGGGTGACCGATATAAAGCCGATATAATTTTAATTATTTTAATTAATATTTAAGAAATTTGAAATCATTTGAAAATAGATTTAAAATTAAATGTGTAAAATAAACATACTTATACTTTAGATGACAATGTATTTTTCACAAATAAATAAATATTTAATAAAAAGTCAACATTGTAACTAACAGGGCACTAAGTAATCTGGGAAGTTTGTGTGCATTGGGAATCATATTTTTTCAAATAAAGCCAAGGTAACACTCATTTTACATACAGCACACAGTGAAAATGACATGAATATGAAAGCGGGCAAGAATGAAAACCAACCAGCATCTCAGAAAACAGATCGATTTTTTTTTTCAATGTAAAGGACATCCAGAAGCTGGACTAGTGGTCTACCGATATGGGTTTTTTGACAGCCGATATCTTTGAAAGCAGGGTGGCCGATGGCCGATATAAAGCCGATATAATTTTATGTATTTTAATTAATGTTTAAAAAATTTGAAATCATTTGAAAATTGATTAAAAAGTAAATGTGTGAAATAAACATACTTATACTTTAGATGACAATGTATTTTTCACAAATAAATAAATATTTAATAAAAAGTCAACATTGTAACTAACAGGGCACTAAGTAATCTGGGAAGTTTGTGTGCATTGGGAATCATATTTTTTCAAATAAAGCCAAGGTAACACTCATTTTACATACAGCACACAGTGAAAATCACGGGAATATGGCAGTGGGCAAATGGATAAAGCGCAGCATAATTTGAAATCACGAGTCTAAATTTTGTCGATCACGCGTCTCCAGAGAGGCTGAACTCTCCTCCTGTCCGCATTCTATTCGCACGGACCGACCGTCACGCAGAGAACACGCAATCATGCAGGATACACATACACACTTCACAAGATCTCAACTGGATTCAACTAAGTTTGCAAGGTTTGTGAAATGAAATGTTAATTAATAGACATTCAAAGATTTGTTCAAATGATATAAATGCGTATTTGCTGAATGCTGACGGCAAACGAGACATTATTATAATGTTTGCTTTTCTATTACTAATAGTATTAAAGCAATCATTATAATACTTTTTTGTATACATTTTAATTCCTTTGTTTAACCGTTCTATCTGATTATTAGACAGACTTCTATCCGTATTAGACAGAACTGTTAACTACGACAGTGAACAAGAGGGAGAATGTGAGCACTGTGTGCTCAGACGTTGCCGTTGCGCCGTCAAAATAAAAGTCCCGCCTCAAAAGCATCGGCCAAACCGGAAAAACTTATCGGCCGATGCCGATATTTAAAAATTGCCAAATATCGGCCGATATATCGGTCGACCACTAATCTTAATTAATTAGTTATGAAAAAATAACACGATAAAAATATTTTAACCAGTTAACGCACTGGCCCCGCCCCCAAATCTGTACGTCATCTTACATTTCATACAGTTGACTGTTGACAAATATGATGCAGGGCAACAACTCCATAAATGCAGTTATGTCCTAAAACGCAAGATATTGGGGTAAAAATGCCCCTGTATAAGTTTTTGTCTCATATTTATATCATATGATAAGTGATATCACACGAGCAGCGAGAGCAATATCAGACAAGTGCTGTTTCTGTCCTGAATATCACGAGTTTAAATGTGATTTTATACAATAGTTCAGTAAATAAGAAGTTAATATTGTTATATTTTAAACACAATATTATGTTTTTGCTCAGTTTTGCAGAGAACATATTACCTTTAAAGCCATAGCAGAATTGTTTCGCATCTCCGAGCAGCACAGCATTGTTTAGTTTCTGAATGAATCCGCATTTTGAACGAATCGTGTGAATCAATGATTCAAAGGCCGAGCATTTACTTCATTCCTGAATGAATCAGCCGTTCGAATGAATGACTCATAAAGACATTTACCGCCACCTGCTGGCAGATTTAGGTTCTTATTTAGAGTATCATTTAATAAAAAAATAAAAAAACAATAATAATAATAAAAACATTAAAGGGATAGTTCACCCAAAAAAAATTAAATTCTGTCATAATTTACTCAAACCTGAATGACTTACTTTCTTTTGTGGAACATAAAAGAAGGTATTTTGAAGACTGTTGGTAACAAAGCTGTTTTGATTACCAATGACTTTCATTGTATGAACAAAAAATGCTGAGATGTTTCTTAAATTATCTTTTTTTATGTTCCATAGATAGTTTATGTTAAGCCGTTGTAGCCTAAATGATTATGTGTAATAAATTTTATGTTGAATCAAATAAAATATTTTTAAAGCTACAATTTCTAATGTCTACTTGATACTTTCTCATTTAACACGAAAATAGCTTTAAATAATCTTTTGTGGCTATTTCCACAGTCAAAATTATTTTGCGATTAATTGCGATTAATTAGATTAATTAATCGAAACATCATGTAATTAATTAGATAAAACATTTTAATCAACTGACAGCCCTAGTTGCAATATTATGTTTGTTTTTTTTGCTCCCTTTAAATTTTGGAGGCGTTTTTGTTCATATTTGCCCCAAGACCTTGTTAGTTAAAAGTAATATGTAATGTTTATTCCAAAATATACTTCATATATGGGTCAAAGATGAATAAGAATGTCCGTGATAAAGGACAAATGTCGTTTAAAACACTTGACAAGTTATTAGAGTTAGAAATTTATTCTTTGTATTAATGTTAGTTTCTTATGGTTTTGAAAATCTTTTACTACAATTTCAAGAAAAGTTTCAATGTATTCAAATGTCATGTGGTGTAACCATGAAGTAAAACAAACAAACATATTTTCCTTACACTTTAATCTTAATTGTCTTAATTATTGTTAAAAATATATTTAAATATATTATTCAAGGTTTTTACAGATATCGTGAATTATTCATTCATAAGTAAATCATACATTTTCCCAACCTGAATTAAGCCATGTCATAAAAAGGTCAATTCTTTTAATAAATATTACTTATTATATTGACCTTGACAAAACAAACACACAGCTTTTTGTTTCACAAGACACTAACTGATGGACTGGAGTGGTGTGGATTACTTGTGAATTATTGTGATGTTTTTATCAGCTGTTTGGACTCTCATTCTGACGGCACCCATTCACTGCAGAGCATCCATTGCTGAGCAAGTGATGCAATGCTACATTTCTCCAAATCTGTTCTGATAAAGAACCCAACATCTTGGATGGAAAATTTTAGCAAGTTTTTAATTTTGGGTGAATTGTTCCTTTAATGTATTTTTTGGTGAAATATTTCCTTTAAAGATATTTGACGAACACCCTCAAAATCAGATGGGTTTCTGCTGTGGTATGCCTGTGGTGTTGATGGCAGGGCTTCTAAAAATAGTCTGACCCTGAGCCGAGAACATTTAACACCTTTTGCTTTCGTTCCTCAGATATGTGCGCTGCAGTCTTGCTCCATCTGCTTTGTTTTCCATCAGCAGTTCTTCCTATTGTTTTCTCACACTGTTAATTTTCACATGTTCTCACCACACAAAGGATTTCTTGTACAGTCACTGTGCTTTTCATAGAAAACAAATATGCTTCTCTTGTGCTCTGAATAGATTTCAGTGGGGTCGATACTCTGAAAACTGACCTCAATTGTTTACGCACCAAATTTATCAGAGTTCCCAGATACACCCACCTGAAGACTGATTCACAGGATAAAGGGAAAAGCTTCTCGAGAGATGCAGTGGAGATGTATTCTCTCCCAAAATGGGTCTCTGTCTCTTTCAGCTGCTGAATAATTCAGGCCTTTTTGACCTGCACTGATTAATGCTTGCCCAGTGCGGCGCGCTTCTTCAAAGCCGTCATGAATCATTAAAACTGCCGCGGAGAGCGTGACTGAATGTATGAGCCTTAGCGGGTCTCGCAGGTCAGCAGCCTGCGCTTAAACAAGTCATGTGAATGCCTCATATTAGGACTCTGCTGCTACCTGATGATATTGAGTTGTAACCTCAAGTTTCCACTACACTAGACGAGATTGCTTGTATTCGACCAAGATGATCTGGCATGAATTTTATTACAGTAACCAACATACCAAAAGTACCATTGCATGTTTTGGACATGTTCTATGAATGGATTATCATATAAATATATTATTTACATTTACATTTAGTCATTTAGCAGATGCTTTTATCCAAAGCGACTTACAAATGAGGACAATAAAAGCAGTCAAAACTAACAAAAGAGCAACAATATATAAGTGCAAATGACAAGTCTCGGTTAGCCTAACGCAGTACACGTAGCAAGGTGTATATATATATATATATATATATATATATATATATTATACACACACACATATACACACACATACTATATATTATAGTAGATGAATATAATTATCATGTGCACCATGGTATATATCAAAAATTCCAGTGATTCCATTGTTACCGCCAAAGTTGTTTTTGTCTTTCCTAAATTCGTTTTTTTTTTTTTTCGTTTTAATTTATCTGTATTCCATTTTAATGGTTAAAATCAGAAAGCATGTTTAATTAATTTAAATAGTGCAACTTATACAATTTAACAACAATTTATTTAAATAAATAAAAAATAGATCCCTATGAAATCTGTTCTATTTTGTCCCAAATTTGATTTAATTCTGTGTTTTTCATTTTTCTGGATTCTGTTTTAATGGTTTAATTAAAATGCATTAATCAAAAATGATGTCTAATCAATTAAATACATATATTTTTTTATTTCAAAAACAGTTTCATATATATAGTTTTAAATTTGTCACAATAAAAGGTTTAATTTCTCAGAAATGTTGTGTTGTCTGTTTTAACTTTTCTGGATTTATGGTTTAATACAAAGTTATTATCAAAAACGGTGGTAAACAATTAACGGCATAAAACATTAACAATTTAATTCATCTTTTAAAATGAAATCAAAGGAAAACAACTCCTTTAATTTCTTGGAAAACAAAGTGCTGCATCAAAGAGGCTTACTGTTAAAATTAAAATTTTAATCATATTATTTATATCATTATTATTATACACTGTAAAAAAAATTCCGTAAAATTTACGGTAAAAAACCGGCAGCTGTGGTTGCCGGAATTTTACCGTAAAAAATACGGTAACAACGTTTTAGGTTTTACGGTTTTAACTTAAATTTACAGTTAAATACCGTAATTTCATTAACTGATATAATGTTAATATACCAACCTATTGAAGTACTGAAATCTGTTTTGTACCTTTGTAATACACTGATAACCACCAAATGCAGGTGGTAATGAGAAAGTCACATGATGAACCAAAGCCCATCACAAGCAGCTTTTAAATAATAACATATATAGAAGGTGCACAGTGTCATTCACACAAACACTAAACACCATCACGGTAACACACATGAAACTGAAATAATGCAATAAACATTCATTTAACAACATTAGGTGTAACACACAACCTAATATACAAAACTGACAAGAAAAAACTAAGAAGAAACATAGTTATTTCAACAAAAAAACATCAAATTTGAAATGTAACGCAGGGAATTCTGGGAATGTCAATTTACGGTTATTCACTGTAAATTATACGGTATTTTTCCCTTCCAAAAACGGTATACTACCGTAAAATTTATGTCCAATACATGTAATGTCCAATACAGTTTTCCACCGTATATAGTAGGGGAATTTACCGGGAATTTTTACTGTAGCATTTTTACAGTCTTTTACCGTTAAATTCACGGTCATTTTTTACAGTGTAATTATTAAACTTTGAGAAATACATTCGACTGCACAATACAGCTCAAATAATACACAAGTTTTATCAGAAGAATTTATGTGAGTGTTTTATAAAACTATAAGCATTATGTTTTGTGATAATCAATGTTTTACCAAAAATGCTATTGATAGAGCTTAAAGGGATAGTTCACCCCAAAATGAAAATGTTGCCGTCATTTACTCACACTCACTGTCATTCCAAACCTGCACGAGTTTCTCTCTTCTGTTCAACACAAAAGAAGATAGGCCTATTTTAAAAAAATTTAGTTTGAGGTTCCATTGACGTCCATAGTATTTCTGTCCATGCTATGGAAGTCAATGGGACCCCAAAACCATTTCAAAATATCTTCTTTTGTGTTCCACAAAAGAAAGAAAGCCACACAGGTTTGGAACGGCATGGAAAATCTTGCCAAAATTCTTCAAGAAGGAAGAAACACAGAATGACTCGTTTGTTTTTCCATGTTTAGAGCTCCCGGAAGAAGTTCTACGTCCTCTCCATGTTCCCGTACCCATCGGGTCGGCTGCACATGGGCCACGTGAGGGTTTACACCATTAGCGACACCATCAGCCATTTCCAGAGGATGAGGGGCCATCAGGTAATTTTACTCTTAAAACAGTAATATCAGAATGTACTGTTCTCTGTCAGCAGCACACACATAGTATGATGATTTATCCTCTCTCCTGCCTCATTTTTATATTCATACACCAACACACAGACACACCAAAACACGGTCCCAGAAATGTAAAAGCTGCAGTCAAGGTCTGCTGGAATGACGTGTGTTTTAATTATGAGGTGTCTGAATAATGGAAATGGTGTGAATATGCTCTTAATCAGAGCTCAAAGTTTGTTATGTATGTTCAGAATGTGCTCACACCTTTTGAAAACAGCACTTTCTAAAGCCTGCAGCTCACCGCGCCAAAGGACTGATGTTATGATTGGTGAGAATGTTTCTGAAAAATACCGTCAGTTTATAACAAGGAGATGAAAGGTCATCGTGGACATCATTATCCTGATGGAGTGTGTTTTATACGGGTGGGTGTTGTGACCTCAATTGATACGACCACAGGAGTCGCTTTATGTCTTGGTTACAGTACATACAGTAATATATAGAAGAGGCATGTTGCTGGAAATAAAGCATATGATTTAGAACCATGTGGCAATGCTTATTTTAACACAGGCTCATTGGGAAAACATGCCTCTATATACCTATACATACAATACACTCCCGTTTCCAGCTGAAATGAACACTAGTGGTAATAAAACACCAACAACTTGTATTCCTTTTCACACAAATTATGATCATGGCGCAAATTATTGGTTAATAAAGACTTATTTTCAACCAGACAGGGCTCTACGCTTACTTTTCTTTTTAGGAGCACTTGTGCATGATCGGGTCAGTCGCACTGGTGCTCCTAAAAAATTTTTCATAGTCGCGTGCAGTAGTTTTCAGTCGCAAATGCAAATGGTCGCACTGTAGAGCCCTGCCAGAGTACTATGTTATGATGACCTTGAAACACTTTTGCCATAGTGCTTGATTTGTGAACCTAGTGCTGTCAAACGATTAATCGCACCCAAAATAAGTTTTTGTTTACATAATATATTTGTGTACCGTGTATACTTATTATGCATGTATATACTTAAAGGCACAATATGTATGATTTTTGTATTAAAATATCCAAAAACCACTAGAACAGTGTTATATACAGTATTTTTCTGACTTGTGTACTTAACATTATCCCAAATGTTTCGAAGAATGTTTAAATCCAGAGAAATAAGCAATTTTAACTAGTGACACGGACCGTGTCCATAGTGTCATTGTGTCGCCTGCTAATGACGTCATAACCCCTCGATTTCCGGTTTTGTTTTGTAGAAA